TGACTATAATAGTATTGTGTCCAAACAAGGTAAGAGTTATAAGTATTAACAACAAGCTTGTAAAGATAAATGCGTAAAATTTGAAAGTAAAGTATTGTTAAAATTAAAAGCATCACAATATGTTGATTATCAATATAGCCATTAAGTGACCCAATAACCTGTAAATACGATCGTCAAGTAAAAATATTCATTAAAGATTGATGGGTTTTCACTATATAGATTTCACTATTCTAACAGAAACGGCTGTGAACTGTTCTTTTCATCATGAAAACCCCAATTTGAACGAATCTTAAACTTGTAAGTGACATTGATCTCTATTGAGAGTGTAATAGGACAATAAAATTAAGTATGTAAGATTTTACATACTTAATTTTATTGTCCTATTACACTCTTAACATAACAGATTTCATGAAATACTTCATATAGATGTAAAGCGCATGAGAGGAAACCTTTACAATCATATCATATATGACGTTCATTTCTTCACATAGTTTTTTAGTGAGCTGACTGTTGTTGTCATAACTGATGAAGCGGAATCTGTAGTGTTTTACCGTTTACTTCATGGTGACATATAGATAAGAAGGTAATTCAATACCTCGTGTTGATAAGACTGAAAACGGATGTTATTTTAGACGAAAAGGAAGAAACAAGATCTGTATTACGCCTAGGACAAATTGTTGGTGTTTCATTGCAAGTATCGATGACTATTGCTGTCGACTCGAAATAAGATGCTATTTCAACGATATTTATTATAAAACTACTAAACTCGTGACTGTAAAGACAATTGAAGTGCACTCTCGGAGATACTAAGTTAATAGATTATGAATAAATTAGTGCCCAAAATATCTCCACAATATCTTTTGTAGTATACAATAAGGTATTTCTGGTTTTAGATGATGGTTCAATGTTAAATGTCAACGTAAAAATATCGACTGATTGCACGATGTCCAGATATAGAATCACATGGCACAACAACGTGTTCTATCATGTTCAAGAAGTATGAGCTATGACTTCAAAAATAAAACGTAACTGCTCAGTCTAAAATTAGTCCCACACACACATTCACACACATATATACGTGAACTGATATGTACAAACACGCCAGTCCTTGGCATATATATCACTGTAACTTTATTAAAGAACATCGCGAATTATTGTTGGTAATGCAATAATGTACATGCTATCATGAATTACAAAACATTTTAATATGCAAGATGTGTAAATTACTACTTATTTAACTTCCGATTTAAATCCAGTGCGTTTATATACAAGTATATTCCTTTACCTGTCATCAATTTTGGTTAATCTGCCATCGTGAACGAGTATTACAGTGAGTTGTATTGTGACACTGTAAACGCAATGGTGGAATATATGGAATGTGGATTTCGAACCTTTACACGAACATACCTCGTACCAAACGGTATGGACGCCTTATCTCTCCTATAGTTCTCCTATAATGACAGCATTCTTTCCAAGAAAAGCGAACTGCAGAATAAATATTTGGTTGTAAAATATTTAAGAGCTTTTTTTGTGAAAAGCACAACACAGGCCAAAATGAAATACACTGATGACGATATTGTGAGAATGGTTGTGTTCTAGGTTGACAATATCCTGAGTTCGGTGGCAAGCTGTGCGCTTTTTCGGGCCGTTTTTTTTTTTTATGAAGCTGAATTTATTGTTGAACTTATCAGGACTCGTTACAAAAGTTTAGCAAAGTTCTTCAATTTCACATTCAGATATATTGACGATGTACTGTCTTTAAATACAATTTGGTGACCACATGAATACTCTCTTGAGCTTTAAATCAAGGCCATGACAGACACTTCTACGTCAGCCGCTTTCTTAGAAATTTACTTATAATTTGCCAAATAGGGAGGTTTATTTCTAAGTTATAAGATAAGCATGATGAATTCGAGTTTACAAGTTGGAATTTAAGTATTGTTAAAATTAAAAACAAAGTCTTGCATGTTTGGAGACCCGGGAGTAAACTGCTGTGTTCCATTTCATTGTTGTAAACGACAAGCAACAGGGTCTTCAGCAGAGATTTCATCTTAATTTTATTTTCAGGGCACAGAGGACAGAATTATTCTGGTGTTAGGTATATGATCACAATAGATTCGTCACACACAGTTATAGATGTAAACAGAAAATCAGTTCCGGAATAAGAAACCCATTGTGTAGAGGTTCTTGTTGCATTGTTTTCCCCATTAAATCATAGCTGCTGTTGACACCGGTGTTGCATTACAGCTCTGAACAAAGCCACATATTATAAACAAAGCCACATACTATAAACAAGTGTACGTGCTGTGACGCTTGTATAAGTTAGTTACACTGCCAATATCCTGCACAAATGAGTTTAATTATCCTAATTGTTACACGAAAATTACGTCAATTTACCAGATGTTACTACCAGATAATTATGTCGTAATAAAGAGATCACAAACAAACAACTCACCAGGGACATCAACCAGGGGCTCGGAAGGTGAAGTTCGTGGCTCTACACGAACATGTTATGTTGAATAAAGCATTAGAGTTCAGAGAAAAGCTGGTGGGTTCATTTTCGTTTTAGGTATATGATTACAATAGATTCGCCAAACACAGTTATTGATGTAAACAGAAAATCAGTTCCGAAATATTAAACCTTTAGGCACTGCTAACAAATAACAAGAGGCCTAAACCTTCACCTGAGTAAATTCTGAAGTACTCAAATTGCAGCATGCTTTTTTTTTTTTTTTTTTTTTAAATTGGCACATAGCTACTTTGGAGAGTAGGCATACACCAATATCAACATGGAGACCAGGCATATACATGCTGTATAGATGAATTAGATGATACGTTTGATGGCCGATTATGTACAGAGGACGTTGTAAATGTCCTAACCAATCACAGGCCAGGGTGGCCATCTGGTATTTTACAATTAGCATGGAAAAAAAAAACTTGGTCGAAACCTCATAAGGAACACTTCTACTAATTTAGAGGTCAATCAGTGTAGCCTTACTNATTGATGATCAATTTATGCCTGCAAAACCTTTGCAAATTATATTAATCCATTTAACATCCATTTCAATCTGATTACAAGCATCTGTGGCGTTTACTACGTGATGTCAGTTAGCTTGCATTTTTCCCTGTGTCACTGTGTGTAGAGGTACGAGATCTTGTTGCATTGTTCCCCCATTAATCATAGTTGCTGTTGACACCGGGGTTGCATTATAGCTCTGAACAAAACCACATACTATAAACAAGTGAACCGTGCTGAGACTCTTGTATAAGTTAGTTACACTGCCAATATCCTGCACCAATGAGTTTAACTATCCTAGGTGTTACACGAAAATTACGTCAATTTACCAGATGTTACTACCAGATAATTATGTCGTAATAAAGAGCTCGGAAGGTGAAGGTCGTGGCTCTACACGAACATATTATGTTGAATAAAGCATTAGAATTCAGAGAAAAGCTGGTGGTTTCATTTTCGTTTTAGGTATATGATCAGAGTAGATTTGCCAAACACAGTTATTGATAGAAATTCAGTTCCGGAACATTAAACCTTTAAGCACTGCTAACAAAAAACAAAAGGCCCATATGCCGAAACGGTCACCTGAGTAAATTCTGAAGTACTCAAATTGCAGCATGTTCTTTTTTTTTTTTAATTTGCACATAGTTACTTTGGAGATAGGGCATACACCCATACTAAGCTAGAGGCCAAGCATACATATGCTGTATAGATTAATTAGATGATACGTTTGATGGCCGATTATGTACAGAGGACGTTGTAAATGTCCTAGCCAATCACAGGTCATGGTGGCCATGTGGAATTTTACAATCAGTATGAAAAGTAAGAAACTTGGTCGAAACCTCATATGAAACACTTCTACTAAGTTAGAGGTCAATCGGTGTAGCCTTACTTGAGAAGAGGTCAAAAACATCTCAGCCAATGAGAGGTCAGGGTGACCTCCTTGGATTTTCTGATCGGCACAAAAAGTAAGAACACTTGATCGGAAGTGAATTGCTGCAGATCATCTTGAGAAGACGATTTTTTTTCGTCTCAGCAAATCAGAGCCAAGGATCGACCATCTTGTATTCTCCAATTGGCAGTAACTCTGCCAGTGACTGTATGATCGGCTTATTTTTGAACACGTCCGGGATACTTTTGATATTAAGCTGCATAGCAAAATTCATCTAAATCCATTCACATTTACTCAAGTTATTGTGCTCACAAGCTCAAGTCCAATTGTAATTACCAAAGTCCCATAACTCTACCAGTTACTGTCTAATCGGGCCCATTTTCAAATTTGTCGAGATCTTCTTATATAAAGCAGCATAGCAAAATTTGTTGAAATCCATTTACTTTTATTGAAGTGCTCACAATCTCAATTCCCGTAATTAGTAATTACCATTAGTAATTAAAATGTCAAAGTCCCCTAACTCTGCCAGTAACTCTCTGATCGGGCCATTTCCGAACAAATTTATTCTTATTCTTATCTCATCATAAAATTTTGTAAGTCATAATAAGACAAAAAAAGCTCGAAAGTTAGTCGTCACTAGATCAAGCTAAAATGTGTATATGAAAAGATACACATAGTATACTTCTACTTGACACTACAGTGTTAGCATATTATTTTATGAATAAAGGACCAAAGAAAAGAAAAGAAGAAAATCATCGTGAGCTCCAACATATAAGAATGAAATGAACACATGATATGACAGGTATACAATCTACCAGGAGATAAATTCTTAAGTAATAACAATACATAACCGATATTCACCAACAGATAAATCGTTAACTTCCTTGGTCAAAAACGAAACAAAATTGATTCATGTGAGTCTTTCCTGGAATTATTATAAACATCACGTGGTTCAATGTAAGATGTTAACGTAATATATCGACTGGTTGCATGACGTCCAGATATAGAATAACATTGCACAACAACGTGTTCTATTATGTTCAAGAAGTATGAGGTATGACTTCAAAAATAAAACGTAACTCCCCAGTCCCGAATTAGCCACGCATACAGACACATACTGGTATATAGTTGCTATGATAGGGATAAACACGCCAGTCCTCAACATAGACATCGCCGGTAAACTTGTTAACACAGTTCCATACGGCTAGAAAATGGACAACTATACCCTGAACTGTTACTGTGATCAAAGGGTATTGATGAAACGAGATGAAACTAAAAGGAACGTGGCGAAAGTGCTTCCTCTTGTTTATGATATACTGAGATACGTTAATTCCCGGGACAGACGCTTCCTGATACAACCCCTTAGAGTGGGCAGTTATGACACGCATTNCTTCGCCAAATTTGTTTAGCTTTTTTAGTGATTATTTTTCGCAATCGATCTTTTCTCAAATTGTATTTTTTTTTAAACCAAATGGGTACGCCTTTCAATCTAGAACACGATGTTTGGATAAATTCAGTAAAACGAAACCAAAAGTTCATGTGGGTCTCTCCTGGAAGTACTATAAACATCACGTGGTTCAATGTAAGATATAAACGTTAATATATCGACTGATTGCACGGTGTCCATATATAGAATTACATTGCACAACAACAACAACATGTGATGTAATGTTCTAGAAGTATGAGGTATGACTTCAAAAATAAAACGTAACTCCCAAGTCCCGAATTAGCCACGCATACAGACACATACTGGTATATATATGCTATGATAGGGATAAACACGCCAGTCCTCAACATAGACATCGCCAGTAAACTTGTTAACAAAGTTCCATACGGCTAGAAAATGGACAACAATACCCTGAACAGGTACTGTGATAAAAAAGTATTGATGAAAGGAGATGAAACTAAAAGGAGCGTTGCGAAAGTGCTTCCTCTTGTGGATGAGATTTTGAGATACGTTAATTCCCGGGACAGACGCTTCCTGATACAGCCCCTCAAGGTAGGCAGTTATAACACTCACCTGAAGGTGAAAAAAGCGGATGAATTTGACTACAACGTCATCGTTGATGTCGGTAAACTGGTCTGGGCACCTGGGAAAACAAGATACTATGGATTTAACAACACTGGGGATAAAGTGGTGGAGAAAAAAGGATACGCGTTACCGGATCCCCCGGTTGGTCAGTCTTTTACTAAAATTGGATACTTGAAGAAGCAATGGGAGGCTGACGGACTTAACGACGGAGTTGCTAGTATGACATTCGATGATGACATAGTTCCAATCAAGGTAAAGAGGTGGTTCAAGTCACTTGTTGGCGAGGCAGTTAATCAGCCAAAATTCAGAAACCTGATAACAACAGACAGGATATCGAGTTCTCCTGCTACTACCCTGTCTGTGAAATTCCCGGACATTCACTACCCAATCAGCATTGATCTTTGCCCTATGATCGAATCTCAGCTGGAGTTTAAACCCGAATTTCACTGGCCTAGATCGAACAGTACCTGGCCTTCGCAGCAAAAGAGGTCAGCCATAAGAAAAGTAGGTGTGAATGAAATTGCAAAAGAACCATTCTACTGGACACTTTCTTTCGCCGCATGTGAAAAGGAACTTCTGGATGGAATTGACATTAAAGGAACATGTAGAAAGAAAAGTCAACGGATCATGAAGCGACTGAAAGAAGACGTATGGTGTCCACCAGGTTCGAAGTCAGAATTGACATCATACCACCTAAAGAACGTGCTGTTCTGGGAGTGTGAGGATCATCCCTTTGACACCGAATGGCAGCAGGAACTCCTGGCGGCTCGCGTGAAGTCAATGACGTATCGTCTGCTCGGCTATATCCAGAGGGGCATTCTCCCGTTGTACTTTCATGACGGGGTCAATCTGTTTTCCAGCAAAGATAAGGTTGTACTCCAAAAGGTAGCAAATAACATCCAGGCATTTCTTGATCAGCCAAAACCATATCTGTCTGAGTAATGTTGGCAGTTGTTGTTTGATATGTAACAAGTATTTTTTTAAATAGTGTTCACATCTTTATAGAGCAGCAAAGTAATTCAGTTTCATGATAGTTAATATAAGCATAAGTTAAAGTATTAGCTTAATCATTATATCGTAGTTCGCTGGGACAAGAGTTCATTCGGTATACATGTAAAGTAAACTTTAACAAGGAACATGTATAGATAATGATGTACATGTAAGATACAATGTAATCGATGTACATATTTTAAAGTTTTAGTGTTGCTGTTATTTTAAATAAGATAACTAGTTGTAAAATATAACGGTCATTATGTAAGATACAGTGAAATTCAATGTACATATTTTAAATTTTTGGTATTTATTTTTTGCTGCTATTACAAATAAGATAACTAGTTATAAAATATAGCAGTCAAAATACCAGTAATGTAAATGTACTTTTCTTAAGCATTGGTTATTGTTTATATTTTATTGTACATGGTATTATTGATAGGAAAACATTTGAATAAATATTGGGTTTTTTTAAGATAACGAATTGCTTATTTTGTTCCGTTATGGTTTTTCATTCAGAGTAGTCTACCCTTTTGTTGATCGTTGATGTGTGACCATGATAATATTGTGTCCAAACTATGAGAAGATAAGAGAAATTAGTATCAACAACAAGTTTGTAAAGATAAATGCGTAAAATTTGAAAGTAAAGCATTGTTTAAATTAAAAGCATCACAACATGTTGACTATTAAAATAACCATTAAGTGACCCAATCACCTGTAAATACGATCGTCAAATAAAAATATTCAGAAAGAATGGATGGGTATTCAATATAAAGATTTCACTATTTTAACAGAAACGGCTGTTTCAAAATATGACGGTCTTTGAACTGTTCTTTTCATCATGAAAAACACTATTTGAACGAAACTTAAACTTGTTAGTGACATTGAACTCCATTAAGAGTGTAATAGGACAATAAAATTAAGTATGTAAAATCAAACATAACAGATTTCATGAAATACTTCATATAGATGTAAACCCAAGCGCATGAGAGGAAAACTTTACAATTATATCATATATGACGTCCATTTTTTCACATAGTTTGTTAGTGAGCTGACTGTTGTTGTCATAAGGGATGAAGCGGAATCTGAAGTGTTTTACTGTTTACTTCATGGTGACAAATGAGAAGAATGTATTTCAATTCCTCGTGTTGATGAGACTGAAAACGGATGTTATTCTAGACAAAAAGGAAAAAAGCAAGATCTGTATAAAGCCTAGGAACATTTATTTATGTTTCATCGCAAGTATCGATGACTATTGCTGTCGACTTGAAATAAGATGCTATTTCACCGATTTTTAATTTTAAAATTACTGAATGGCAGAGTTAAATTCGTGACTGTAAAGACAATTGAAATGCAATGTCGGAGTTTTTAGATTATAAATAAACTAGTGCCCAAAATATCTCCACAATATCTTTGGAGTATACAATAAGGTATTTCTGGTTTTAGATGATGGTTGTTTGGTTTTTATGTGAAAGACGGTTTTCGAAAAGGTGCCTCAATTTTCAAATTATCTAGTGATTATTATTTCTAAATCAAAAAAAGGTTCAAACTATTCAATTTCCCAACCAAGTTGGCATATGTTCCCATCTAGAACACGGTACATTGTATATATTCAGTATAACGAAACCAAAAGTTGAATCGTGTCGGACTTACGTGGAAGCACTATAAACATCACGTGGTTCAATGTTAAATGTCAACGTAAAAATATCGACCGATTGCACGATGTCCAGGTATAGAATCACATTGCACAACAACGTGTTCTATTATGTTCAAGAAGTATGAGATATGACTTCAAAAATAAAACGTAACTCCCCATTCCAAAATTAGCCACACATACACACCAACGTGTACTGATAAGTACACACACGCCAGTCCTTGACATACATATCGCTGTAACCTTATTAATAATCTTCGCAAATTGGTTTTGGTAATGCAATATTGTACATGCTATCATGAATTACAAAACATTTTAATATGTAAGATGTGTTTTAAGATAACTCCTTATTTTACTTCCATTTTATATCCAGCGCGTTTATATACATGCATATTCCTTTACCTGTCTACATTTTTGGTTAATCTGCCATCGTGGACGAGTATTACAGTGAGTTGTATTGTGACACTGTCAACGCAATGGTGGAATACTTCGAATCTTAACACGAACATACCTCGTACCAAACGGTATGGACGCCTTAGCTCTCCTATAGTTCTCCTACAAAGACAGCTTTCTTTCCAAGAAAAACTAACGGCAGAATAATTATTTGGTTGTAAAATATTTTAGAGAATATTTTGTGAAAAGCACAACAGGGCCACAATGAAATACAATGAGGACGATATTGTGAGAATGGTTGTGTCATGGTTCATGACAATATCCTGAGTTAAGTGGCAAGCTGTGCGCCTTTTCGGGCCGATTTTTTATCAGGTCTCGTAACAAAAATTTAGCCAGGTTCTTCAACTTCACATTCAGATATATTGACGATGTGCTGTCTTTAAATAAAATTTGTTGACCACATAAATACCATTGAGCTTTAAATCAAGGTCATTACAGACTCTTCAAAGTCAGCTTCTTTCTTCGATGTTTACTTACAATTTGCCAAACAGGGGCTGTTAATTTTTAAGCTATATGATAAGCAGGATGACACAGTCTTTCCCCCTGCACCCCTACTTTGTTCACATGTCACAGTTCATTCGGTATTCCAGAACTTGCTCCTAATTATATCATGACTTCTATTAGTGATGTCGATTGCTGACGGACAAACATCCGACACAGGATTTCCAACGACGCGTGTTAACGAAGGCTACGGAACAGCTATATGGTCGTCATCATGGTCTCATTGGGAAATTTGCTTATTCTTTTTTTTATGTGATGTGAAGGTCAACTTTCTTTAAGCTCATTAGTGTACCTTATGGTTTTGTTGCCATTACCAGAGTTATTGATGTAAAGACCTGACATTACTTGGAATTGACCTAGATTTACAAGGTGGGTGTCGTCGATGAACTAGAAGACGCTTACGACTCCGGAACAATTGGTCTCATTCTCATTGTACGGGGTCAAAGGTCGACAGGTGGATGTTTCCTTTGTTCATTTCTTGCCCAAGTTTTCGAGTTTGAATTCAAACTATGGTTTTGTTAGCGCTTTGGTATTCTCATGTTGTTTTATGTGTGACTGTAAAAACTATTTTGTCCTATCTATAAAATTTGAAAAGTAATTAACAAGTAATTAACAAGTAATTAAGCAACAGGTTTGTACACGTATTGACTGTACATTTTGGAAGCAAAGTATTGTTAAAATTACAAACAAAACTCTTGCATGTGTGGAGACAAGAAGAAGACTTCTGTGTCCCATTTCATTATTGTAAACGACAAGCAACAGGGTCTCCAGCAGAGATTTTAGCTAAATCCTGATTGCAGGGCACATAGAACAGAATTATTCTGTTGTTTCAAATGCAACACTTTAACTTTTCTCTCCTGTTTACTCTAATTCTTTCTACGATATTCCATAATATCAATCAATCGTGTGATTATCTATGATTGTATCGTTCACGCAAAGTATTAAAAGTGTCTTTTCTTCTCTATGCTCTTAAGTTTTCCCGATTTCTTGATTTCCCTTAGTTTGTAATTAGGTAGCAAACTATGGCATTGTATTTATAAATACTTAAAGAAATCATCATATGTGGAGATTACCTGGGGACACAAATCAGAAAGCGTTCGAGTTCTGAGAAAATATGGTAGTTTCATTTTCGTTTTAGGTATATGATCACAATAGATTTGTCACACACAGTTATAGATGTAAACAGAAAATCAGTTCCGAAATATGAAACCTATAAGCACTCATGACAATACACAGTATTACACATAATAATAATAATACAACGGTATTCTTCTGACACAAACGAAATGGCTCACAGTGAGAAAGTGGGTCAAGCCGAAATTTTGTAAGTTAGCCGGTTATTGCTATGTCCAAATGTCCATTTAGCATGTCGATTGTGTAGGTCGTAATTACTAAATTGTTGTGTAGTAATTACGACACAGTTATTTCGTTACTATAACATAGGCCTAGTTATCTCGTCATTATGACATAATTATCTGTGTATCATCTAGTTTTTTTACATTAATAATTGATGATTAGTTTATGCCTGCAAAACCTTAGCGAATCATATTGATCAATTTAACATTCAGTTCAATCTGATTACAAGCATCTGTGGCGTGGTTTCGTTTACTACGTGATGTCAGTAAGCTTGCATTTGTCCATGTGTCACTCTGTGTAGAGGTACTTGTTGCATTGTTTTCCCCATTAATCTTGGTTGCTGTTGACACTGGGGTTACAGCTCTGAACAAAACCACATACTATGAACAAGTGAACGTGCTGAGACGCTTGTTTACGTAAGTTACACTGAGACGCTTGTATAAGTTAGTTACACTGAGACGCTTGTATAAGTTAGTTACACTGAGACGCTTGTATGAGTTAGTTACACTGCCAATATCCTGCACCAATGAGTTTAATTATCATATGTGTGACACGAAAATTACGTCAATTTACCAGATGTTACTACCAGATAATTATGTCGTACTAAAGAGATCACAAACATTTACAACAATCAGGCTTGAGTGGTAGCACCTCACCAGGGACATCAACCAGGGGCTCGGAACGTGAAATCGATGTCGTCTTATGTTCAAGCTAAAATGTGTATATGAAAAGATACACATAGTATACTTCTTCTTGACACTACAGTGCTAGCATATTATTTTAGGAATAATGGACCAAAGAAAAGAAGAGAAGAAAATCATTGTGAGCTCCAACAAATAAGGATGAAAGGAACATATGTTATGATAGGAATAAAATTTACAAGCAGGTAAATTCTTTAGTAATAACAATACATAACCGATTTTCACCAACAGATAAGTGGTATACTTCTTTAGACAAAATCTATACCTTTATATTAATTGTCAGTACCGATTTATTAGTACGATTTATTAGTATCAGTCAAACAG